GAGAGAGAGAGAGAGAGAGAGAGAGAGAGAGAGAGAGAGAGAGAGAGAGAGAGAGAGAGAGAGAGATTATGACAGTCGTCAGTAGGGGGCGATTGTTGTATGTCGCAGCACTTCCAGGGGTTCAGCAAGTGGTGCTCGTGTTATGGGTGGTAGGGTGGGTTGCAAGAAGACCTGCTGGAATGAATGCCTTTTTTGTCTTGCCTTTCTAAGGCGAATGCTGTGTCTGGTGCTGTGTCCACTTTCCTTGTCTTGGTTTGCATGTATGTGTGTGCGTGTATGTATGTCTGCCCGGTCATCTATGCGAACAGTGCAGTCAGTCGCGGTGTCTGTGTAATTGGCTCGACCCCACTTTACCGTGAACGCTCGCTAAGAAAAGTGAATCAAAATGTTTCCCAGTTGAACTTCTGCGTACGTGCCAGGATATGTTGTACCCATTCAATAGGGCTATATCGACTGAATTAATCGGCAATGGCTGTCAGATACATCCATGGAAGTAGTTTGGTGCACCGTCAGTGAACCGCAGTCAGGCGAGGTAATGCCAACAACTTTCTCAATCAATAGATACATTCATGGAAGGTCTACTGTGTGGGTGCGCCCTCAGTGCATCAGTATAAGGCGAGTTAAAGTCGATAGCTTTCTCGGTCAGGATGTTCTATCTGGACATTGAACGAGTTGCTGATGGCTCTTTTGACGGTTTGTACGCTCAGTCAATCGGGTAGTGGATGACGTCGAGTACTCGTCGCCCTACTCGAGAGCTCAAGCACTTGATGTGTGGGTAGCTTCATGTGAAAGCACACATGCACCATACAAATGAAACCTGCTGGTCCCGCCTAGCTTACGCAGACAGGGCACTGACCCAAGGGTTATCACGAACACCATGCAACTTAAAAGAGTGCATGGAGGTTAACATGAGGCGCGAAGATGATGGGCGTGACAAGAAAGAAAACATGGCGGGCTTACCTTTCCAGCTTCTAGCTCAAATTTCACCCTCCATTTCACACATTTGGTGAGTAAAGTGGTGATGGCCCATGCCAATCTCCACAGCTGAAGTGCTTGATGCGTAGGGTATGTTTGAAGTACAAGTCTGAAAACATAAGATAAGCTCCATGCGCAAGGATAACACGCACAAATGGAGAAATTGTCGAAGAAAAAAGAAACGGGAAAAAAAGAAGAGAAGGAGAGAAGGAAGAAAGGGGGAAAAAAAGATAGAACAAACGTGCCTAGCTCAGTTGTTTCAGCCATGAACTGTTGAAATACGGACCTGAGTTCGAATCCTCATGGATTAGGTGAATGAAATTCTACCTGGGGTTGTCAGTCCCTCGTTGATATTTCAAGGTTGAGTTCTGAACTATCCCTGGATCCCGTCGGCTACCTCGGGTAAGGGAAGTGGAAACGGAAGTGATCGACGTTCCTAGTAGTTACCGGCGCTAATGTCCCCCTACTTGACAGACAGTCCCTGTCTTTGTGCATCGATCTCCGTGATCTACGGTTGGGAAATGAACAATCCGGGTGAGGGGTGGACACTGCCGATGATTATCAGGACCCCTGTGACTAGCGGAGCCCACCGGAGTTTCTCCTGGGACTTTCTAAGGAAATCTGACGGTGGATATCGGATCATGATATTCACTCATTTATGGCCAGGTGCCATCCGATTCCTCACGGTAACGTTCTGTATACAACGCCTTTTGTTTTTTTCTTTGTTCCCCGGGTTTGTTCTTGGACTTTCTAGGCTGAATCTTGGCGGAATCACGGGGACGGTCAAGTGCAGTGGGGCCTTCCCCACCAGTCCACATTGGAAAACTGGCCCAGATGTATAGCACTGCTGGTAGCTTGCCGTCTGCATAATAAGTGAAGTCGCGGATCAATGGAACGTGTCCACATCGTGGGCATTGCTGTGTGGAAGGATAAGGGCATATCACCGTATCCGAAACACACATTCGGAAAGGGAGAATGGAAAAAAAAACGGAAAAGGAAATAATCGATAAAGACTAGAACATCCGTCCACAAAGTGGGCTCTGTACGTTACTCGGCGCGGCCACTGAGTGTTCGGGTTTCCAACGCTTGGTGCGGTGACGTGTCGTGCCGTGCTGTGCGATCTTCGCTGCTGCCAAGGCTGTCCGCTCAGCCGCTTGCGTGGCGGCACAGTGAAGGACGATGACCTGGAATGCTTGCTCGTGGCGATGTGCTGGCGGGCTCAGGGAAAGCTTGCTTGCACGCATCTCGTGTCTTGAATCCGGTGGAATCGGATCTAGCTGAATAGGAAGTCTGTCTGCTATCTGGGGGCGAAGACAACATTGGGCGGCTGTCAGGGGGACGGCTGGCAACAAGCGCAGCTGGCGAGGTGCCGCACAGCTTTCGGCGGAGCGGCGTTGTGCGGCATCCTAGGCGTACGCTATCATCGTGGGTATCAACAGCGTCGGCCAACTGAGGGGCGACGGAGCAATGGAGTCGAAGATGGAGCCGAAGTCTGAGCACGTGTTTTCTCCCGCCTTTGCCCGGGCTGTTGCGCGGCACCTGTGTCATTCGGCCATGACGAATGGCGTTCGTCACTGACGTGCGACGTCCATCTGCCGGAGTTTGTGCGGCAAATGACGTATTGCTGGCGGACGTTGCTTTCGTCACTCTCGAGGAGGCAAGGGCACACACTGTGATCGACGTGCGTGATAACACGCAGTTCCAGCAGTCGCACTTGCACGATAGTGTTCATGTCCCTTTCTTCGTTGAGAACAGGGATATGGACCCTGCGACTATCAGTAAGCGGCAGATGCACTCGATGATGACCGGCACATTGCACGGAACGACCTTCACGAAACCAAACGACTGCTTCCTCGAAGTGCGGTTTCCCAAGAACTGTAAAGTTCTGCTGGTTTGGCAGGAGGGCCTTCGATCTGCCAAGGCTGCCGAGGATATCGTGGATGCTGGGTATCAGCAGGTCAGCTGTCTAACAAGCGGCCTGCAGGCAGTTAAGGCCGGCCTGTTCGAGAAAGAAGGGGAGAGAGAGTTAAGGGATGCCGGCAAAGCAGGAATCGCGGCCATTCAAGGGAAGATCAGCATTGTTCTCGGGACTGTCCTCATTACAACTCTAAGCGGCAGATGCACTCGATGATGACCGGCACATTGCACGGAACGACCTTCATGAAACCAAACGACTGCTTCCTGGAAGTGCGGTTTCCCAAGAACAGTAAAGTTCTGCTGGTTTGGCAGGAGGGCCTTCGATCTGCCAAGGCTGCTGAGGATATCGTGGATGCTGGGTATCAGCAGGTCAGCTGTCTAACAAGCGGCCTGCAGGCAGTTAAGGCCGGCCTGTTCGAGAAAGAAGGGGAGAGAGAGTTAAGGGATGCCGGCAAAGCAGGAATCGCGGCCATTCAAGGGAAGATCAGCATTGTTCTCGGGACTGTCCTCATTACAACTCTACTTGCTCTTGAAATTATTTCCCGATAAGGCAGAGAAATTCTCCAATCGGCCGGCGGAGTGTGGAACACAATTGCGCTCCGATTTGGTAGTTCATACAAGAGGTTAGCAGGATCTGCGGGCAGTAAGGCGAAAATCTTAATGATTGTCTTCGGATGCCAGCGACAAATACTTAAAAGGAAGTCGGTATTTAGGAAGGGTGATGAGGGAAGAGAGACGTTTGCCGATTACGACAGTGATTCATCTCCAAGAACAGGAAATCAACGTGACCAGGGTGATGTCATGTCTTTTTTACTTCGTGTCTGTGGTGGGTGCCTCTGTGTGTGTGTGTGTGTGTGTGTGTGTGTGTGTGTGTGTGTGTGTGTGTGAGAGAGAGAGAGAGAGAGAGAGAGAGAGAGAGAGAGAGAGAGATGCATTGTAATCTGTGCCACGTCCTGCCTGTGCAATTGAATACATTGGGTCGGTGATGCAATTGCACGTCTTCAACCAGCTGCCATGTTTGTGATCTGCTTTCCTGTTCTGGTGCTCTTGTTGGCGCCCTTGCCTGTGCTATGTCTGAGTGACACACGTACGCTGAATTTGTGAACCAGGAGAGAGGGGGGATTTGCAAGACGACTACACTTATTGAAATTGAAGAGGGTTTG